GCTCAAGCCCCCAAAGGGGGGGGAAATTTGAAGTGCCCACCCTCCCTACCCCGATAGGAAGACTGGCTGGCGCCAGTAGTTTCCGTGATGGGGTGAACGTAGTCTTCACCTAGGGGGAGAGGAGCCTGCCTGGTGGCAGGAGGTCCTCTCCGGCTACGACAGGGATTTCCGCCAGCTTTGCTGTAGTGCTGTAAGTTTCTTCAAAGTCACGTGGGTGAGAATCGCAGACCCTACAGCCTCCGAGATAGCCCTCGCCAAAGACAGCAAAGAGTCCCTGGCGTGGCTGCTGTCTTGCGTGCAGTCAACCCCCCGCGAAGCCCTTGTCAGACCCACACCTACTGCGCTGCCTCTCCGCCGCAGACGCCGTGGCAGAAGGAGACGCAGTAGGGATAGGGGGTTGGCTATGCACCAAGGACGGACTTCACTGGTTCTCAGACGTCTGGTCCATGTCCGAGGTGCGAGACGTCTGCCCGCAGCTACGCAAAGACGCTCAAAAGTACATAGCCTGCTTCGAGACACTGGCGCAGCTAGCCCTACTACGGATGGCGCACAGCCGCCTTGGCCACAAGTACCGTTCTTTCGCTATGCCTGCAGGCTCGGACAACGCTCCCACCGAAGCGGGGGTCAATAAGCTGTTCTCCACAGCCTGGCCGCTCAGCGTTTTTCTTCGCCTGGTGGCCTCCTGGTCACATGCCCACTTGGTAGCCTTGCTAGTTTCCCACGTGTCGGGAAAAAAAACGTATGGGCAGACGAGCTTAGCAGAAACAAGCTCGACAGGTTTCGCTCCGAGCCCTTAACTTGCTTCAGCTTCACGCTCAGCCAGCTCTGCCAGCCCGAAGGCATCACGTTGCATCCCCCCCACGCAAGGTGGAGGGAAAATTTTGCAGACTCAGTGACCTGAACAGCTCCCGCGCGCGGACGCGAAACAGCGACCTTCGCTTGCCAGAGCTCTGCGCAGCAGCCTTACTTCCTCAGGCAGCCCGGCAACCGCGGATAGCCCTGTACTAACGTGCCCTGGCCCAGGTCTTTCACGGCCTGGCCGCGAGCACAGCTCTCAGTTACTTAGGCATACCCCAGATAGCCTTGGATGAGCCGCAGCCTCAGTTTTGTTCCTGCGCAAGCAACCCTCACGCGGAAAGGG